CCCCAAAACCCCAAAACCCCAAAACCCCTTTGAATCATATCGCTAAGAAATATGTTGATTATAGAAATAATTATTAATTTCAAAACAAGAAAAATGTAAGTTTATTCTGCTTTTCTACTTTAGACACTCCTCATGTCATTTTGATTTGAATAGATTCAATTAAATATATTAGTAGATTTGTCCTTGAGAGATGGATTTCAAGACGAGATTTTAGGGTAAAACCTCTATGATTACAAAAGATGGAGGCATAGAAACAGCAATGGCAACAACTAAAGTTCCGATAAATAAAATTGATGTAGCAGGAAATAGCAATAATAACTTTAACAAGGGACCTACTGAATAGCTAATCTCTTTTGGGGGAAACAGCTAGAGTAATGGTTTCAACATCTACAATGGCAATTAATCCCATGCTTCAGCATTTGGGGGTGCTATCATAAAGACAGGATAGTTTGGAGCAACATAATAATAATAAAGCTAGTACCAAAATTTCAATGACAATAATCAAAAAAACACTTTTTCCCCAATAAAGTAAGCTGATCTAGATGATTTGAGAGCTGATAACATTTATCTAAAGGGTGGCAATAACATGGCGGAAGCTTTGAAAAATAGCTCTAACTTAGCAGCAACAAATGGACTAGGTGGTGGCATTAGCATAGCTATGCGAATGAAGTAATAAAGAGATGCATAATAGAATAAAAAAGATGAGGAAAAAACAATATATAATCACAATCCCTTTATGAGTAATGTTAGTAATCAAAATGGCAATGTATAAGATAAGTAGTTTTGGGCTTAGACCACCTCATATTCTGACAACTCTTAAATTTCTCAAAATCAAACTCCAATCTCAAGTCAGTAATCGTAGCGGCCTCATAATATTCATGTTAGTAGCACTCCTAATCAATTACCATCTTAGTAAATTATAACTCCAACTTCAAACTCTAAGCCCCCAAGTCAGTAAAACATTCGAAAATCACTTGAAAAATAGAGATAGTCTAATTTTGCTAGTGTAACTAAGTAGATAATTAATACCACTAACAATTCGGGTTAAAACTTTTAGAAAAATCCCATTGATAAAAACGTTTCAACAAGTCAAGTAAGATAAAATAACATAAAGGTAACTGATAATGGAACCATTAGTGGAGGAAACTCATATTCTTAATAAATTGGATTGAATCAAAATCTTAAGCATCGAGCTGTTAGTGTAAGTAACACAATTTAATAGTAAAATGAAAATTAAGATAAAACTAATGTAATACCAAAAAGAGGAGGTGCTTTTAGAAGTGCAGGGATCAAATCATAATAAACAGTCGATGCCACTTCTAAGTCTGTCGATAAGACATATTCTAGCTAAAATGGTTTGCCAGTTAATAATGGATTAGTAAAAGTTAATACTCATAATTTAATAGAGAACCCATATCAATAGTAAATATCAGGTACAAATTAAGGGATGGGTCCTGGCTTCATGACAGGAATGAATCAAATCGCAGCAACTACGAATTCCTCAATGCTAACACCTGAGTAATTACAACAATAAATCTTGATGATGCAACATTAAATGATGCTTTTACAGCAGCAATAATAGTTTATATATGGAGGAAATATCAGTAATCTCCCACCATAGAGTAGTCCTGCACTTCTATAGATGAATCCCGGATAACCCTCGTAAGATGTTTATAAATAGTTTGAACTTGCAGACTAAAAATACCAAGAAAAGGTTAAACCGCTTTCAGGGGTTGTCAACACAAATTATTAATCCAATAATTTAAATAAAGTATCTTCAAACATTCAACTAGGTCAATCCTCATCCACTACTACATCAGGTCTTTACAAGCCCTACTCTGTTAAAGAATACAAATAAATGCAATAGACTTCCTAATAAATAAAATTGGGAGGATTAGGAGCAAACATCGGAGGTGAGGATTGGGAAAAGGCTAAGAAAAAACAAGAATAAATATAAGAATACGCAAAATAGCTAAGATTACAAAATATAAATAAACCACCTCCAATAAAAAAGAACAGAGAAGAAAAACCAAAGGAAAAAACAGCAAGAGATAAAGCTATTGAATTCTCAAAGAATGTACCAAAGCCTAAGATGCGTGTATAAAACGATGACTCATCCTCAATAATAGAAAATCCTTACTAAAATGCTTACTCCGAATAAAGCTAAGGCTCTAAGTACCTAAATAATGATCTTAATGGGATCGAAGAGGAGCCTTATGATGAGTATGGTGTAACACTGAAAGGAGAAGACTTAGCATAATTAAACATGAAGCATGATTAGTATGCGAGTGAACTTGAAAAAATAAAATAATTGATTATGTGAACAATAAGACTCTAGAAATTTATTATTTGCACATCGCTGATTTATTAGTTAGAAAATTCATCGTATAAATATAAAAGTTAATTAAGTAAATATAATTAATTTAAATTTCTCGTAAGAATATAATGGCAGACGAAGAGGACACCCCAAAATACATTTTGATCACAGAAAACCGTGAGAAAAAGCATATTTCCAGAGAGTATGCAGGAAAGGGTACTGCTTATTATCCCAATGGTGATATCTATGAGGGAGACTTCTAAGATGGTATCCGTGAGGGAAGAGGAAAGTATTTCTATGCTAGTAACGGCGATAAATATGATGGAGAATGGAAGCAAAACTTCAAGCATGGTATTGGTTAAATGCAATACAATGGAAAAGGAGACTACAATGGATATTGGGAGAACGGTAGAAGACATGGTGAGGGTGTCTTTACCTATCCGAATGGAGATAAATATTCAGGCTGGTGGAAGTTTGGAGATAAAGAGGGAACTGGCACTTACGTCTTTAAGGCCACTGGAATGAAATTATTCGGTCAATGGAAGCAAGGAAAGATCGAGAGCGGAAGATGGACATATCCCAATGGAATGTACTACGAGGGAGCCTTTGAAAATAATAAACCAAGTGGGAAAGGTAGATGGGTTTATAAAAATGGCAATCAACTTACAGGCCACTATGAACAAAAGAAGAAGGGAGAAGAAGGAGAGGATGAGCCAGTTGAAGAAGAACTTGAAGAGGGTGCTGAGCCAAAGCCAAAGTTCTCTCTCATTTGGCATTCAGATACTAACATCGCCGAAGCAGCACATATGGTAAACTCTGTAGAGCAGTGACAATCATATAACTACAATAATTATATTTTCAAATTATTTAAGACACATTTATTCCACGCATCTTTCTCAATTAAATTTGAAATAAATCTTAGCTCATGGGGTTTTGGGGTTTTGGGG